GCCGAGAAAGCCCTGGCTCTAGTTGAGGCCAGCCTAACCTCTCTGAGGCCTGGGACCTTCAGGATGTTTTTATTTGCAGACCGTAGGTTCCTCTGTGGGGCATACCAGGAGAGGCGGTCCCGTAGGTACGAGGGTCCTAGGCCGTATAGGGCTTTAAAGGTTAAAACCAGCACCTTAAACCTGATCCTGTACTCCACCGGGAGCCAGTGCAGCTGGTATAGTACCGGATGAATGTGATCTCGCAGCGAAGACCCCATAAGGAGTCTCGCCACGGCATTCTGCACCCGCTGGAGTTTCTGGGTCAGTCTCAAGGGCAGCCCCACGTAGAGCGAGTTACAATAATCCAGTCTGGAGGTGACCGTCGCGTGGATCACAGTGGCTAGGTCAGGGCAAGAGAGATAAGGGGCCAACTGCTTAGCTTGGCGGAGATGAAAAAATGCCGCCTTTGTTATAGCTGTAATCTGCGCCTCCATAGAGAGGGAGGTATCGAAGATTACACCCAAACTCTTAACGGACGGTGCCCTTTCTGGGTGTACACTACTTCTCTGAGTGGAAGGGAACCTTTGGATCCAACTATGTAACAAGGAAAGCTGAGAGTGAAAAGAAGGGTATGCAACCAAGAAGAGAACCCATATTCCCACTTGTATACTTTTATCTGTTTCCCTTTCTTTAACCCTTTCAAGAAGAGGAAGCATGATTGTTTGGCAAGTGAAGGTCAGACACCATTGCCAGGGATCCTGAGTCAACCTTGGTGATGGAGGACTATTGCTAGCCATCATATTGTTTACCCTCAAGAACTTCATGGTGGACTTTCAACCTACTGGAAATAGTTGTTTGGTGGACAGAACAGTGCATCCTCTTCTGGTCAACGTATACGCCTGAATGTAAATTTGTCCAAGCCTGGAATACCTTTGCAAAATAAACCGTGTGTGTTGTAACTGTGGGCAGAGGGTGGTAATCAGACCCAGTGCCAGATTTGATGGGGCACTTGGACAATGTGCCCTCTAGTACAGCATCTCCCTGGTGTGCCCCCATTGCTTACAAGGGATGGGCCATGATGGCAAATAATATGGGTGACAGTGGCACAGAAAATCTAGCCACCCAGTGATTCTTCAGCCTAACGAAATAAATAGATGTGTACATTTAGGTGTGTTTGTAAAAATAGCATGGCTATGGAAAGTGCGCCACTATGAGAAGAAGTGTGTGTACGCACGTGCACCCCACATCAGTCCTGGTGGTGTTACAATAATGTGTGCAACAGTTTCCACATTACTTTGATGGTCTAAGACAAGTTCCTGCATTTCTCTGACAGCAACAGAACAGCCTGAGATAATAACTTCAAAAGAATGATTATATCAAATATACCTGTGATGTTTGTACTTTGGTGCAGAATTCAGGTACAGTGCTGCGTTTAAAAGCTTGCCTAAGTTTCAGAGACCTCAAGAAGAAGTTTATCTTCATTTCAGCACCTGGAACCTCCAGGGCTTCGCTGCTGAAAAGAATTGCCACCGGGTTATTAGAAACACAACAATATTGTATCTTGAAAAATAAATCAATGCGTAGAAACACTCTTTACTCGTAACTACAGAATATGCAAAAGACCAGCTCCTGAAATCTTAATTGTTGCCCTTATACTAATGTCTCCCCATCGACATTATTGTTAGAAACCTGCAGATGGTTTGCAAATTCTAAACTCTGGAAAATCATTGCAATGTGAATCTTCCTGTATTCCATAGTTCAAGACTACCTTAAAGCCCCTCCTTTTTGGCCTTTCCATTTATCCTTGTTCAGGTCCTGCACCCCTCTTTTAGGGGTCATTTTGAAACCTATTTTAAATTAAGAACCACGACAGTGCAACCTGCTGAAGAAAACCTTGCAGAGTTCAATGTGACTTATTCCCAGTATGGCCTCTGTATATGATTGTAGCCTAAGATTCCTTTAACTTCATCTGCCCATGGGATCTGCTCCCTAAGAATAATAAAAAAATATAAAACTCCCTTCATCCTATTTCCTCACTCTTCCCCATATTTCTTACCCTATGGTATATTCAAGTATACAGATATTCATTCTCCAATGCTTCATTCTTATTCTCACTCGCTTGGGAATAATCCCACTGAACTCACTGAGGCTTGCTTCTGAGTAAACATGCACAGGGTTGTGTCAGAAAGCCATGTATGGCAGTCTGAAGAATGCTATGGAATTTCTCCACCATCCTTAGAATAGATAAATCAATATCTTAGTGGCTTAAGGGCATGTTGTACAAAGTCTGGATTTACTGACATTCTTGTTTTCAATTGTTTATTCTAAAAATGGGCAACGTCTCCTTGGCTCAAACTGGAGGAGGGTTGGCAATTATAAGACACATCTGTGAACATTAAAGGAGGGAGAGAGAGATTTATACTGGCTCATAATTATTACAAACATGCAAATCCTTTCCTGGAAGAATGCATGCTCACAGAATGTCTCTGAGAATTGAGCCGTGTATGTTGAAAACTAGTGCTCCTTGTCAGCCCCCTTTTTAAATGTATTTTCTGTGTGATGCATTTGTTTGGTCCGTTTAATTCACGACAGAGTTGGCTGCCTTTAGTGTAATGAACTGATTGTATTGATTATTGACATTTGTCTGTTAACCAGGAATTGTTTTGGAAAAGCTTGATTTCTGGTAGTTGTTGTTTTTATCTTCTGTCTTGTTGTCTGGAATTTAGTGGGCCAGTGAAGAAGATGTTGTGCAAGTCATGGCACACACACTTTAATCAAATTGTTATTATTATTATGATTATTACTAATTAATTAAATTTGCATACCACCCTTCATACATAGATCACACTATATAAAAACACAAAATACATAATAGAAAACAAAAATGTATCTATTTATTTTAAAAAGAAATTGCCTCTGCTGCAATTGTTTTGAAGATTTATTCATACTCCTTATATACTGCTATATTGTATCTATATTTGTGGTGAACTCATTCTGAGCACAGAGTAACTGCAGAAAGGGGATTTATTTCTTTATTACAGCATAAAGGTATCATGGATCAGAACAGGAGAAGGAGATCCACCATAAGCTGAAAAAAAGATAAACAACTGCCAGGCTGTTCATGA